CAAACAATTTCAAAATAACGCCAAAAAATTATTCTGTAATCACCATAGAACGATTCTTAATACAAAACTTCGCTAACTATCGAACGATGGCTGAGATTTAGACAGATAAAAACAGCCTTCCAAAATCTCCGACAGAACTTGAAAAAGACGGGCCAACTTTTTCAAGTTTGTTTTCATTGGCTCGCGCATGCGTGTGGGGTGACATAGCCCCTTTAATATACGACTTAAAACAACCGCCAAAGCGATTAAAACTACTAACAATCAATAAAAGAAATATAATTCGGTGAAACATTTACAGAGACAACAATTTTCATTCATAAAGACAAGTATTAAAATGTCTCTAAAAATCCATGTAAGCTTAAGCATATAAACAACCTTGCAGCTTTACATTTATGTTAAGCCGGCTTCCTAGTGTTTGCTATTTTTCAAGATGAACTCGAGGCAAGAAAGTTGCTCAAAGCTTTTTTTTACAGTCAAAGTTATATTAGATATTCTTCGCAACGTTTTCTTTCTATTTGCAGCGAGAAAACGTCTGAAGGCTTTTTAAAGTTCTGTAAGGTTATGTCAAACCTGATACTGGGTCAGATCATTGTCACAAGCTTTACAAACGTCCATAAACTAGCCGCCTAAACTACGCTCGACTTCATGAAACGAGAAAAAAATAAGAACAAAAACAAAAATACAATAATTACTCAGGCTTACCAGTCGATATGAAGCTCCTGAAAGCCATCAATTAAGGCCAGAATCACTTGAGACTTAAACACCCTCTTACGCATCAAGCAAGTTGAAAAATGATGCCATCCGAAATCGGATTTCCAATGACTTTGACAAGCGACGCAATTCTCCACCAAAAACCCAATAAACAAACCAGCAACGAATATCAGACGAATCTTAAAAGCAGCTGTATTTCATTTTGTACATCCAGTGGAAAGAGACAGTTAAATACATCAGAAGATGACACAAAACTCTGTTAGCTTCACCTATCAGTAAGCAAGTTTCAAGATGCTGCATAAATTTTGTGCATGAACTCACCTGTAAAATTTTGACCAATCAGAGCATAAAAATTGGATGTAGAGCGTGACCAACGCATGACCATGGTGGGAAAAGTCAAAAGCAACTGCCTTACCTGGCTCAATGATCGCGTCCGAGGTCAGTTTGATATTAAAATTTAATAGATCTAGTGCGGCTCAAAAACGCAACTTATTTCCTATGCATTTAAAAAAAAACTGAGCCTGTGATCATTTGAAAACTAGTAACTTGTCAGCGGAAAACTTCAATAAAATACTCGACCTCGATGGGTCGATACCTGAGTCCGCGACACGCTCAGGTGACACTGGTCAGCGGATACCCTGTTTTGACAGCTGTCAATTGATCATAACATGAATATGCAATATCAGGTTGCACCTGGCCTCCCAAACTACTATCTATAGCCAGAAATGTGAGATTAAACATTGGTTTCCCTGTGGTGCAGACGGATGGACGGTCAGTCGCTTGGGCGGTGTACCGTCACGTGATTACCAAACTTTCTAGGATGGATAGATTTACTTAGCTATGGGGGCTGTGCACGTGCGTGAGAAGCGCTTGCGTGGAGCTCCGCTGTAATGCACGCATATAGCCTGCGACCACCGACGTATTTCCGGTTGTTGCTAATTATAACATACGTTCTACATCAATATTCAGACACAAACTGTTGAATACGATACAAAAAGTAAATACAGTCGAACTTTTATTTAACAACTCTGTTTTAAGCGACCAGTTTTCAAAGTACCGACGTTCCGCTCATGGAAACGATGTATTTCTTACCTGCGGCCACCTCTGTTAAGCAGCTGCGGCCACCCTGTAGTAGTCCTATGTTTGTATTTCTTTGTTATTTTTACGTGTATTTAGGGGCCCCATATGTCATTTTGCGCTACTTTTAATTAGCAACATTTACGTTAAAAGTGCACATTGAATTATTCAATTCTGAACTGACGGAATGAGATATTCTGTTGTGGACTTTAAGTCATAGAAATACAGTACTGTATACCGTACAAGAGTATAGGACTATTTATTGCAAGGTATGTTTACATGTTACGCATACGTTATACCGTTAAGTTACAAGTTGGCACTACGCTTTGCTTAAAGTATTGATCGCTTTGTTCAATTGTTTGTTGCATGAAGTGTTTTTGTATGACAAGATTAAAATTGACATTAGGCCAGCCCCAGTGAGTATTCTTAGTGATCCTGTATTAAGGTGGCTCGACTGGATTTTTTGGGGTTGATACCTCCCAAGTTTGAGCATTAACTACGTCGGCATGGTTAAAGATATGGAAAAAAGGTTGCCACAGCGGTATTATATAAAGATAAACATTTCTTATGAATGGGGTTTTATTGCAATCGGAGTCGCCATGGCAACGTAATGACGCCATTACGTTTTTCATTTATCTTTCTGTTTCTCTGTACCAGGAGTTTTTTGAAGAAATCGCTTAAGGGAGTATGTACCTGCCATAATTGCCTCCATTATGGCAAAGTTTGAACAAATTCTATGAGAGCGTTTTCGAAATATTTTGAAATGCAGTTTTAAGAATCATAAAAACAGTGAAATAGCATGCTAGCCGCACAATTCGCTGATATTTTAAGAAAATGATAAGCTTTGGGAACGCGGCTTCATCTCATAGTGGCTTGATTCCATTGAAAACTGCATACAAAAAAAAGGGGAATTGCTCTGGGCGATCACGAGAAAGAAGAATTTTATTAACTTGCGTTCAGCTGCTTTTGATACAGTTTTTGGACGTAATTTAGTCCATGCCTAAAAATATCGCATTTTTCCAAAAACCGCCCGATAAATTTTTTTATAAATTCGACAATACCGAGACCAATCGTCAAGAAATATTCCCTGCAAGTTTCAAGAACATTGAAAACGGGGAAGGCTTTTACATAGGGCCTCAAATATAGCCAATTTTTCCTCCAGATTTTGTGTTTACAAGTGAGCGTCCTCATTATTCACTGGCATTGTTTTCAAGTTTTTCAATTTGTAGTTCAGTTCAAAACAAGGAAGAATCTCCGGCTCACTATAAAAAACGCTTTTGTTTGTTTTTAACACTTCCAAAGGTGACAATGGTTTTGAAAACATTTTAAAATGACATTGTAGAAAACCTTTTTTGCGGTTGTTGTGTTAGAATTTGACGATAGTTGTTACGTAGATGCTAAACAATATCACTAAGCCCCGTTTTCAACTCGCAATTCCACACTAAATACCTCGCTTTGTTAACCAATCAGAATGCGAGATTTTACTCAATTATGCGATTCTACACAAAACAGCATTTCTTCGCTAAAAGGTTTTCAATTCTTACTTTATTGATGGTCGAGTATTATTCAGGATACAGTCGAATCTGTATATAATGGCCCTCCTCGGGACTTGAGGAACTGGCTGCTTAAGGTGGCTCGACTGGATTTTTTAGGGTTGATACCTCCCCAGTTTGAAACCTCTTTCGTTCGCCACAACGGGAAAACAAGAAAATCTTGTGAACACGGTCCAGAAAATGGCAAGCCAAAGTTCAACCAAACAAAACGGAGAAGCGACAACGGAGGAAGTGCTGGGGTCAATTGTCACATATACAGAAGAAGAAATAAATATCTTGAAAGACGACATGGCCCCTGAAAACACGAAAAAGAGTACGCCGCTTGCAATAGTCCTGAATCGTGATACTTAGAAAAGTACAAAACAGAGCTGAACTTGAACAGCATTTCTAAAACATTTCAATGTACTTACCATATATCAATCGCGACGTTAAACTTTCAGTACTTTCGCTTGGACACTTCATTTCTTTGAGTTTTGCCGCCGAAGAGGTAGTCTGCAACACAGCCGTTTTTAGAGTCGTGACGACACTAAAAACGGCTGTGTAGCAGACTACCGAAGAGGTAAAAGGTGTAAATTATTTTCCTTCTTGAGCAAATGACCAATTTGAAAAAGATGTTAAAGATAAACGGCTTGTAACTTAAGCTTGTTTACATGTAAAAAAGTTTGAAAACAAAGGTAAAAACAAGCACAAGGTACAAAAAAGTTGTCGAAGGTTCAAACGTGTACGACTGACCTTGCTTCCTATTCGCTAACGCAATGACAGTTCTGGCAGTTGACTTTGAAATGACTTTCTGGAGCGCGCGCTCAGGATAAAAACAAACCATATTATTGCCGTTTTCTTTTTTTTTTCCTGATCTTTATTCAGTTATGCGATTCAAGGAAAATCCATTACCTGACTCGTGAATTCCACGTTAAATTGCACTTGAAAAACTGATATCGCACTCATCGCTTCGCGATTCGCGCGATATCGGTTTTCGCGTGCAATTTAACGTGGAATTCCCTCGTCAGGTAATAAATTTTCCAATAGAATTTGTTACGAAAAATTGTATTGCGTGACTAGCGTGACTTTCTAGAAGCTTCGCGAGAGTTCGTAGTTTGTTTATTTTAGGATCTTATGTAAGCATTTCTAAAAGCGGTATATTTTGTAATCTTTCTATAATTAGACTATTTAGAAAGCTCTAGAATCTTATTGTAAAAGTATATAAGTAGGCGAGTCCGAGTTAAGTTGTAACTAGTTTTCACAAGCGAAGAGAGTTTGACGTTAGTCGTGTTTACTCAAGTGTGACGGAAGCAGTGTTTATTCAAGTTGGCGGAGGCCGTGTAAGTTTATCAAGTTAAGAGAAGTTGGCGGAGGCCGTGTAAGTTTACCGAGTTAAGTGCTGTTGTGGAGTTTTACTCAGTGGAAACTACGTTCATTCTTGGAATAAATCTTCTTGTTACTGTTCCGACAACCCTGCGTTCAGTTTGGTTTGCAAGCTACCCGTCCTCTAAGAGATTACCCGCGTAACAATGGGGGCCTGTCCGGGAGAGGAATTCAATTGTTTGCCGACTACAGTAACCAGGAAAGGACAGTTTAAGAAGAAGGAGTTACAGCGAAAGTAAGAAGAACTGCTACGAGGAAGTATATTGTGTGTGTTTGCTGTGAACTACGACTGTGAAAATGGATAAGTTTATACAGATTGGAGAAAAGTTCGGATTCGAAGGAGAAAAACTCCTCGAGTTTGTGCGGGAGCAACAAAAGTTAGAAGAAGAAAGAAGGAGGGAAGAAGAAGAAAAGGAAGAAAAACGTAGACAATTAGAAGAGGAAAAAGAAGAAAAACGTCGAAAACTTGAGGAAGAAAGGAGGAGGGAAGAGGAAGAGAAAGAAGAAAAACGTAGGCAGATAGAAGAAGAAAAGGAAGAGAGACGTCGAATACTTGAGGAAGGCAGAAGGAAGGAAGAAGGAGAGAAAGAGGAAAGACGTAGAAGAGAAGACGAAGAAAGAGAAACTAGGCGGCAACAACGCGAACTGAGAAAATTAGAGCTGGAAGCAGACCTGTTGAAGCAGAAAGAGGCCATTGAAGCCGCTAAGAGAGAGCATGAACTAGAGCTCGCTCGTCTAGCACAAGGCCGTAATGATACCGAACGTGCTGAAGTGAGAGAGGATCGGGCCAAGGCACCCAAGCTTCCCTCATTTGTTGATGGCAAGGACGACTTGGATGCTTACCTACAACGATTTGAGAGATTTGCAGCTACAGCTAAATGGGAGAAGACAGGATGGGCTTCGAAACCTAGTGCTCTTTTGTCTGGACGTGCCCTAGAAGTTTATTCGCGAATATCTGAGGAAGCAGCCCAAGATTACGACCGAGTGAAGTTAGCTTTGATGAAGAGATATGACCTTACAGAGGATGGCTATCGGCGTAAATTTAGAGCATCAAAGCCGGAAGTCGACGAGAGTCCTGAGGAGTTTATAGTGAGACTGGATAGATACTTGTTGCGGTGGTTAGAACTGTCGAACACTGAACGATCTTTTGAAGGCCTGAAAGATTTAATTGTGAAAGAACAGTTTATTGACTCTTGTCCAAAAGAGTTAGCTATTCACCTTCGTGAAAGAGCCCCGGAAACGCTTGCCCAGATAGCGAAGATTGCCGATCAGTACTTAGAAGCACACGGAAAGCATCTGTTCAGCTCTGCGAGCAAGAAGCCACAAGTACAGCCCAAGGCGGAGGAAACAAAGACTGCACAGAGTGATACAACAGCCCTCCAGTGTTACAAGTGTAATGCCTGCGGACACAAAGCTATTAACTGCCCAACTCTAGCTAAAAGGTGTTTCCTGTGTGGCAAGCAAGGTCATGAAGCGAGGAACTGTCGATCAGGTGGACGAAAGTAAAGGAGGCCAAGGTTAGGATGGTAACCCTGTGCAACGTGGTCAAGTTAGTGCTGGCTGTTTGGTTAAGTCACCCGATCTTAACGCTACTCCCGAGGAAGTCAAGTCGTGTATTCAAAATGATCAGCTTCTGTTAGCCTGTGGCAAGAAAGTCCCGTTGCTGAGTAATGCCTGTGTTGAACCCTTAACTGGAGTAAGAAGTAAGATGCCTGTTGTAAAAGGTAGAGTTGGAGAGAAGACTGTTGACGTTTTAAGAGATACTGGTTGCAGCGGAGTTGTTGGTGAGGATCAGTTCACCGGAGACTTTAACGTTATGTTGCTTATTGACAACACTGCCAGGAAGGTGCCCATAGCAAGAATTTATGTTGATACGCCTTATCTCAAGGGCCACGTAGAAACGTAGTGCCTTTCAGATCCTGTCTACGACCTAATTATTGGCAACGTACCTGATGCCAGGGAAGCACAAAATCCAGACCCCAGTTGGCAAGAGGCCTGTGCAGTGACTACAAGAAGTCAAGCTAAGAAAAAGGATGAACGCACAGCCTTGAAGGTGCCAAGTAGCCATAAGAGCCCTATTGTGGACAGAGAGAAGCTCAAGCAGATGCAGCGTGAAGATGAGAGTCTGCGCAAGTACTGGGATCGAGACGATGTGATAGTAAAGGGTCAGGCAGAAATTTCATTTGAAGAAAAATGTGGAGTACTGAACCGCCTGTACAAGCACCCTTATGTGAATGGCGGTAAACTGCTTAAACAAGTCATGGTACCTGAGAAGCTGAGACGCCCCATAATGGAAGTAGCTCACGGATCGATCATGGGCGGTCACATGGGCATCAAGAAAACAACAGACAAGATCCAGAGTGCGTTTTATTGGCCTGGAATTCAAGGTGACGTGACTCGGTTTTGCAAGTCCTGCGACGTCTGTCAGAAGACCGTAAGTAAGGGATCAGTGCCGAAGGTACCCTTAGAGAAGATGCCGCTGATTGACAAGCCCTTTAGGAGAGTGGCAATAGATCTTGTTGGGCCTATCAGCCCTCCGAGTGAAGAAGGACACAGGTACATATTGACGCTGGTAGATTTTTCGACTCGCTACCCTGAGGCTGTACCACTAAAGAAAATTGATACGAAGACCGTAGCAGAGGCATTGGTAGATATCTTCAGCCGTCTAGGAGTACCTGAAGAAATCCTGAGTGATCTGGGCACACGGTTTGTTTCTGATTGCATGAGAGAAGTTACCCGACTACTAAGCATTAAACAGCTTACAACAACACCCTATCACCCGATGCGTAACGGATTAACGGAGAAGTTCAACGGAACGATGAAGTCTATGTTGAAGAGACTGTGTAGTGAGCAGCCAAGACAATGGCATCGCTACATAAACCCACTGTTGTTTGCTTATCGAGAAGTCCCCCAAGAGTCCACTGGTTTTTCGCCGTTCGAGCTGTTATACGGAAGAGCCGTTAGAGGACCAATGACCACACTCAAACAGCTGTGGACGAAAGAAGTTGAGGAGCCTGAAGTAAAGAACAGTTACCAGTACGTTTTCGAGTTGCGAGAGAAGTTAGAAGATACCCTGAAGCTCGCCCATAGTGAATTGGAGAAAGCCCAGCAGAAAGGAAAGCACTATTACGACCCCAAGTCTAAGGTTAGGAAGTTTCCACCAGGTGAGAAAGTGCTTGTGCTGCTACCTACCGACCATAACAAGTTACTTATGCAGTGGAAAGGTCCCTTTGAAGTTAGTTCAGTAGTAGGTCTCAACGACTACAAAGTGAAAGTAAAAGGCAAGGAGAAAGTTTACCACGCTAACCTCCTTAAAAAGTATTTTGAGCGAGTGGAGACTGCAGTCGAAGGAGCAGTAGCTGTTGGAGCAGGCGCTACGAGTATAGACGATGCTGTCGACTGTGAAGCTAAAGTTGATGAAGCAGAGGAAGAAGAGGTTGATTTCTTAGAGCTTGGTGGATATGTAGCCAAGGAGTCAATTGAGGATGTTACAACTGGACCGAATCTTACGCACGAGCAACAGAATGAATTTACGGATCTGGCTAAACAGTTCACGAATTTGTTTACTGAAGCACCAGGTACCACAGATCTTGTTCAGCATCATATTAAACTCACCTCAGACGAGCCAGTTAGATCAAGACCTTACCCAGTACCTCACAGCATGAGAGAATCACTGAGAAACGATATTGCTGACATGATCAAAATGGGAGTTATTAGAGAGTTCAGTTCTCCGTATGCGTCACCTGTTGTAGTAGTGAAGAAAAAGGACAACACAAACCGCGTGTGCGTAGATTACCGGAAATTAAATAAACTAACTGTATTTGATCCTGAGCCTATGCCAACTGCTGAACACTTGTTCCAGAAGCTTAGTGGAGACAAATTCTTTTCAAAAATTGACCTTAGCAAGGGATACTGGCAGATAGCTATACCAGAGGAGGACATTCCGAAAACTGCGTTCGTAACACCTGACGGGTCGTACGAGTTCTTGAAGATGCCGTTTGGAATGATTAACTCGGCGGCAACACTGAAGCGTGCAATGAAGAAATTGATAGAAGATCTAGATGATGTCGACTTCTACTGGGATGATATATTGGTTCACACCCGTACGTGGGAAGAGCATATTAGAGCCCTCAGAGAGCTGTTTTCGCGCCTTGTACAAGCTGGGTTGACTATCAGACCTACGAAGTGCCTATTCGGAGTAAACAGTGTGGATTTTCTAGGCCATCGATTGGAGCAAGGGATGATTGGTCTACATCAGGATAACGTGGAGAAAATTAAAGATGCCCCAAGGCCAAGCGCAAAGAAACAGATGCGCTCATTTATGGGTCTAGCAGGATACTACAGAGATTTCATTCCCAACTTCGCAGTAATCGCAGCGCCCTTATCTGATCTCACACGGAAAGGCCAACCCAATAAAGTTGAGTGGGGTGAAGCACAGGAAAAAGCCTACCAAACAATCAAGTCCTACCTAACAAGTGAACCTATTCTACGTCTTCCCGATCCAGCTAAAACCTATTTCTTACGGACGGACGCCTCCAACAATGGAATCGGTGCAGTATTGATGCAATGGCACGATGAGAAATTATTCCCGGTTTGTTACGCAAGCAAGAAATTGTCGAGTGCGGAGCGCAACTACTCTACAATCGAGAAAGAATGCCTAGCGATTGTATGGGGAATCAAGAGATTTCATCTATATTTGTACGGCGTACCTTTTGTGCTGCAGACAGACCACGAGCCGCTGAAGTACATGGACAGCGCAAAATATACTAACACACGACTCATGCGATGGGCGATGTTTCTACAAAGTTACAATTTCAAGGTGGAAGCCATCAAAGGATCAGAGAATGTTGGAGCGGATTATCTTAGTCGAGTAGAAGAGTAACGTGAGAGACACCGGACTACCCCTGTTGTATATTAGCTTACTCTGTTGTATTGGAAATTTAGGAAATTTCCTCTGAAAGGGGGTTATGTTACGAAAAATTGTATTGCGTGACTAGCGTGACTTTCTAGAAGCTTCGCGAGAGTTCGTAGTTTGTTTATTTTAGGATCTTATGTAAGCGTTTCTAAGAGCGGTATATTTTGTAATCTTTCTATAATTAGACTATTTAGAAAGTTCTAGAATCTTATTGTAAAAGTATATAAGTAGGCGAGTCCGAGTTAAGTTGTAACTAGTTTTCACAAGCGAAGAGAGTTTGACGTTAGTCGTGTTTACTCAAGTGTGACGGAAGCAGTGTTTATTCAAGTTGGCGGAGGCCGTGTAAGTTTACCGAGTTAAGCGCTGTTGTGGAGTTTTACTCAGTGGAAACTACGTTCATTCTTGGAATAAATCTTCTTGTTACTGTTCCGACAACCCTGCGTTCAGTTTGGTTTGCAAGCTACCCGTCCTCTAAAAGATTACCCGCGTAACAGAATTAAACGCCTCCTAGACTGCCAGGAGTCTCTTATTTTTCTTTTGAGTCACAGTAGGGCGAGAGGATACTTAATTTTTTGCTCGCTGAGCTTGGCTCTAAGAAAAGAAGGATGACCGCTCACGGTCTAATCGCCTCCTCTTTTCTTATCTTATCTCCAAGCAAGCAAGACTTACCAACCTTACCGCTCCTAAGAGCAGTCTTGTTCAATATAAGAAGAAATTGGAAATCTCTCTCATTTGTCTCTTGCCATGTTGACTATTTTAACAGCCTGCAGTAGGGTTTGCAGGCCAACCAGATTAAGTGCGAATTCGAACTTCCCATAATACACTCTGAATGTCCCCCCAAATTTTCAATAAACCATTGTTTTCAAATGCTCCTCGGAGTACTGCATTTTCCAAAGGGAATTTGAAGACAATGACTTATGCGAAATTTGGGCGGAAAACAGAGCGTATTATGGGGGATTCAAAAATAGTCAGTGCACAGAAAAATCGAGCAACATCAGCAAACCGTGGCCACAGCTCACAATCTAACCTACCTTCAACACTGCTGGGGTTTTTAATTCAAAATGCGACCAAGTTCAGGAATTATTTGGGATGTTCAAATTCAGTGGTCTGGGAGCCTAAGATTACCTACCAATTACAGGTAGAATATTCCAGCAACAGAACTGAGCTAATAAACGGGAAGATATATTTACAATCTTCCACTTAAATTTCTGAAAACACAATTCTGATATGTAACTGGACTCCCAAGAACTCGAACCCTCGCTAACTCGAACCAACGTCGATTTCTCTTGGATTTCCTTCATACATTAACTGTAATTTGACCCTCGATAACTCGAATCTCCTGCTAACTTGAAGTAATTTGTGTTTCCCTTCAGATAATCTAAATATTTTAACCCTCAATAACTCGAACCATGTTTTAAGCGTGAAGCAAGTCAAAAATAAAAAGCAGTGATCTGAAGTCCGAAACATTGACATTATTTTCTAAACAACAGAATTCTTTGACTATACTTTTATGTCA